TTCACACCTTTCAGGTAATAGTCTTTGACCGCCGGTATGTCTATGTCTTTGAATCGATTGTTCAGCTGATCCATCAGGACATCGAAGTCGGTTTCGTTAATATCTCTGGCAAACATCCAATTGAAAGCCGCCCGCGATACTAATGAACCCTCATTTCGGGACACGCCCACCATGATGTCTAGACCTAGATTATATAAAGTTAGCTTAATCATTAGTATTACTTTTCATTGCAAACTGTAAACTGTGCATGATAGATTTTATTTCATTATAATACTATGTCTTATGTATCACATATTGGTTGGCATAGAAAACTGGATTAATAAATTAAATAAAATGCATAGCTTAAACTGAACATTTTATAATTAACATGCACATATTTTAGTGTAGTTTATAGTTGTAATAAATTATTACTAATAATACAGACCTTGGTTGAAATTATTTTTTATGAACGCATTTTGAGCATTTATCTCAGGCAACAACTCAGTCGACTCCAGCGCTGGACAGGTATTCATCGGAAAGGTTTTGATCAGCTCTTCATAATCGGAGACATTTCGCAGACACTGTAGCCATCGGTTCCGATCGGATCCACAATTGAAATGATTGGCCATCACTTTGAACTGATCCAACGCTTCTGTTTTTGAAATGTATGGCCGCTTCTTATTGGTCAACAACACTCCGCTCTCATGTATGGCACGTCTGAACAGCCCTTTGGCCAACGGAGACAATACCAGCGCCGACACCGACTGACTGCCGGCGCTCTCACCAAAAATGGTAATCCGATCCCTATCTCCGCCAAACTGTTCAGCATTTTCTCTAACCTATTATTATTGCCATTAATTCATACATTAATTCATTAATTACTAAAATAAATTATAACTAAAACAAGCGATCAATTGATACCCATTTTAGTGCCAACAGTTGGTCATAGAGGCCGGCATTTCCGGGCGCCGTCTCGTCGCCGGCGTATAGGAAACCAAACGGTCCTAACCTGTAGTTTACGGTCACAACCATCACGTCATGTGTGGCCAGTGCTGTGCCGTTATAATTGGGAAACTCATATATTGAGCCCATAGACAGACCCCCGCCGTGAAGCCAAAACATAATGGGTTTGAGCTGTGATTTGTTTGTGTTATTATTGCCCGCATTTGGTGTCCATATGTTTAATACCAAACAGTCTTCGCTTTGATTTTTCATAAACTGAAAGAATGGCGGAACGTATGGCTGTAGGCATGACCTGCCGTTCACTACTGTCCCGTCTATTATATCCTAATGTTTTTGTATGAGATATTAAATTTACATTGTTTTAAAAATATTGATTAATGTTTACCTTATTGGGTGTTTTGATGGGTTGAGGTTTGGCGAACCGGAGTCTCCCGACGGGTGGTTCGGCATAAGGTATACCCAAAACTGGTCAATACTTACGTTCAACACATCTATCGTCT